CAAAAACCTCTTCAAAAAAATAAAAAAATTGGAACTCTTTAGCCTTACATAGTCCTTGCTCACCTCCTCTCCTGTCTCATCATGCTCCCTCCCTCCTTTCATTCCAGTCTTTCACCACTACCACAAGTCCCCAGAATGACGGGGATCTTCAGTGGCCTGGCTTTACTGAACCTCAGGCCCCTTCACCTCATCTCTCTGGATCCATCCCCCTATTCCATTTCTTCTCTCACATTCAGCTGGATTGCTTCTTCCTCCAGAAAGCCTTTCAGAACTTCCACTGCTCTCATTTGCAGTAGTTATTTCATAAACTCTTAGACTGTGCTATGAAGGCATGTATCACAGTTTGCTATCAGCGATCTGTCTGTTCACTCCTACTAGACTATCAACAGCCAGAGGAACGACAACTGGGGGATGAATAAGAGTGCAGTGATGAAGGGGATATGGAAAAAAAAAAAAAAGGCTAATGAAAAAAGAAGGCATCTAAGAGAAGACTTCAGCCTTCTAAAATGTCTTTTTTAGGGATAGAGGAGGTCACTTAGTTATCTGGACTAAGAAAAAGGTCCCTACTTCTTTTTTTTTTTTTTTGAGAGTTTTGTTGTTGTTGTTGTTGTTGTTGTTGTTTTCGGGCCCGTGCGCTCGCCAGACAGACAGAGAGAGACAGAGAGACAGAAAGCAAGAAATCACCCCCCAGGGGGGATGGCCACACCACAATCCCTTCTCCTCCATGCTCCCCTTGAGATCTTGGGCATGCACGCACATGTGCCCAGCGTGAGTTTTAAGCCACCAGGTCCGGGACGCGAACCGCGGTCGACTATGTGGGAGTCCAGTGACATAGCCATTACGCTAACTCCTGGTCCCATGGTCCCTACTTCTTGAATTAGGCAAAGTGCCCAGCCCTAAATAGGAACAAACAAGAATGGCTTTTGCTCTTTCTAGTTCTCATCCTTCCTTCCAAGGATGAGAAGAGTCTAGTCTTGTTATCAAGAAAAGGGTTCCCAAGAGTAAAAGATGTAGCTGAATTCACATGGTTAAAGGTCTTGGGTTCACATCCCATACCTTTCTGAGCATGCCTGGGGGTGTGTATGTGCCTGTGACCCAAACTGGCTGAGGCTGGGGTAGAGCACTGTGGAAGACCTTGTTGGTGTGGTCTCTCTCTCTCTCACAGAAGAAATAAGTAAAGTTTTAAAACAGTGAGTAAAAGATATAATAAGCATGTATAATAAGAATGGAAGGCAGGATGAGCAGATGACGAAATGGCTATGTCGCTGGACTCCCATGTAGTTGACCACGGTTTGTGTTCCGGATCCAGGGGCTTAAATTCACGTTGGCATGTGTGCTTAACGTGTCCCAGATCCCGAGAAGAGGATGGAGAAGGGATTGCAGCATGGCTATAACCCCCTAGGGGTGATTTCTCGTGCTCTCTCTGTCTTTCTGGCGAGCACGTGCGCCCTACAGCAAAAACCTCTCAAAAAAAATAAAATAAAAAGGCATGGAAGGAAAAAGAAAACATTCTTGCCAACTCAGATTTCAGAGTCTGAAAAATTAATGGTTTAAGAGCAAGAGCTTCAATGAGGGAAAGGAGGGAGAGTAGAAAGAGCCTTACATAAGTCTCCAGGCCTCCTTCCCATGATCTCCTCAAGGAAAGGAGACAGGAAAGAATTTCATCTGTTCTCACTTGTCACGACTTAATTCTATAAGAACATTTCCTTGAACATTGGCAGCGAGAGAGAAGAGACCTTAAAAGTGTTAAAACTATAGAAATTATTCTGGGTAGCTACAGTCCCATAGAGGTAACATAATATGGATGCCAATTTAGCAAGAACACTGAGCATTCTGCCCAGGGAGCACATGACATTTACACTAAAAGCTACCAGGAACCATTTCAGATACCCTAGAAAAGGTGCATCTTATGGAAACTTGTTACACTTACAGTGAAACAAGTGGTGGCAGAAGGAGGAAATTTCTATTTTCATCTCAACCTGACCTTTTATAAAAAAGAGAAAAAAAGGTACCATATCTTCATGCATTCAGACACTTATTAATTAGCTCTACAAATAAACATGGGTACGGACTGTGTCAGGGGCTTGGGAAGGGCTGGAAAAGCAGGCATGATTTCTGGTCCACAGACCATATACCCTTCTTAAGAAAGTAAGCAGTAAATACACTGCCACCCAGTTTCCTGGCTAGGGAGGCACCACACACAGACAGGAGGAGTCAGAAAAGGCAGCCAAAGGGAAATAACTAAGGTGAAACTCAAAAAAAAAAAGAAAGAAATTGGCTACCAAAAAAACAAACACTCCAGACAAAGTAAAAGCATCTGTAAAGATTAGAAGGCAAATAGCCCAGAAAATTTTAAGAAAGTAAAAATTCAGAATGGCTGGTATGACAAATACTTGAAGGAAAGGGGTACAGGAGAAACCAGGTAAGGCTGGAGAGGTGAAGTAGCACTGGATCAGTCAGGGTCTAATAAAAAACATTTTAAAGTTTGATCTTTATCTAAAGAAAAAAAAAATTACAAGAAAGTCATTGAGGGTTTAAGCAAATACATAATTGGCCAGACTTGTATTTCTCAAGTGTCCAGACTGCATTATGGGGGATGAATTAAAGCATAGAAATCTGAAAAGGAAGGGACCGATTAGGAAACTGCTAAGGCCGAGCAGGTGAACAACTGCTACTACAAAATAAAGCAAAATGCAAAAACCAGAGTTAAGGAAGTATTTAATGAAGACCAATGGTCTGGAAAAGGTGGCATAACAGTGCCTAGAAACAGCTACCACTATGTTATAGCCAGGATGAAATCTATACCTATATCTTCCCTATACCTGGCTTAATATCCTTACCCACCATCAGCTCCAACATCTTTGGTCAAACAAACCTTCCTTCCTTCCTGAGTCCCCTAATTATATCAAACAGCTGTTCTGCACAATAGTTACCCGGCACATGTGGCTATTTAAATGAACTAAAAAAAATCATATTTTAGGATTTGGTTCCTCAGTAGCAACAGTCAATTTTCAGGTATTCAATAGCCATAGGTGGTGATTCACTACTTAATATTCCAACATAGATACAAACATTTCCATCACCGCAGAAAGGGCTATGGAAAGTGCGGGGCTACAGATACACTTAAATCTGTCCCTTCACTCGATTAAGCCTCTTTAAAACAACACTGCTCTAACTGAGAACGAACCTGTGAAGGCAGATGCGCTCACTGCCCCATGCCCACTCCGTGTATTAATAAGTTCTGCAGTGCACTGAAGAATCATGGTGTACAAACCACAAGACAGGCTCTGTGTTTTGGCTCATTAATCCTCACTATGCTCAGAAGAAATAGAAAACCAGCAGGCCTCACCCATGTTTTATAGGTGAGGACACCAAGGCACAGAAATTAACCTGCCGGAGGCTATAAAGTCAATAATGGAGTCACAAATAAAAGCTGGGTTCCCTAATGCCCTGACCAGTGCTCCATTCATTAAAAAAGTCATGGCTGATTTAAGAACCCCGTGATGGAAACGACTGTTTTCAGTTTCACCTGACTCAAGCAACCATTTGCTGTATCAAATGGCTTGCTACACACAGAAGGGTCGTATCTGTGAGTTCCTTATATAGACACGGAGATCTCTGGTTCACGTGCACAGGCACATACAACTATCCCTTGGTATCTTCCCGCAGATGCTCAAGTCCCTTACATAAAACGGCATAAATATCTTACATATGACTCCACCTACCCACCTATAACTTTAAATCATCTCTACATTACTTCCGATGCTTAATAACATGTTATGCTAATAGCTGCAATATTGCATTATTTAGGAAATAATGACAAGAAAAAAAATGTACAGGTTCAGTGCAGATGCACTAATTTTTTTTTCAAATATTTTAGATCTACAGTCGGTCAAACCCAGACCTGAAACCCAGAGATAAAGGTCCAACTGTGTGCGTGTGTGTGTGTGTGTGTGTGTGTATGTGTGTGTGTATTAAGCATACAAAATTATACATATTATATATGTATAACATTTCAGAAACATGTATAAACAGAAAAATAAAAAAACCGAAGTATATGTATCCCCTGAGTTTGCCCCAACTATCGTGCAACTTGTGGTGGGAAGTAAAGGAGATCAGACACATTTACTGAAACTAATAGCATCAAAGTACGGTACATTCTTGCATTATTAATTTGTTTTTCAATTATGTTAAATGGTTACCTATAAAACATTACAACCTGGAAGCTCTGCATTTTGTAATTCTTACTTGCTTCTGTAGCCAGGGTAAGCCTGACTCCTGTGTGCTCTTTTCAAACCTATAGAAGCAGTGGGGGCACAGAGCAGCAATTCCTGCATTTTCATTTCAACTACCTAATTAACTGAAAAGAGTAAAATAACATATAGGGAGACATGAACCAAGTTATAGATTAAAGATATAAAACCCACATATGGCATCTGCTTGTGACACTCTCGACGACAGCAATTTTAAAATGCAGCTGCCGGCATTCACTAATGTGTCTCCATACCCTGACACCGCAAAACAATTTACCCAGAGCCTCACTGAGGTGAGAAATCGAAGAAATAATTCAACTGCACTTGCCCACTATCTGAATTCTTTCATCTTTAACTGTTGTTCTATTAAGTATTCAGAAAAAGCACAAAGGAATGAAATGTTTAAACCACTTCTAAAGTATTAAGCATGCCAAATAGATATTTCATAATAATTATCTTGCTCTTAATAGGTATAAATTAATCTTCAGATCATAAACACTAAGTGAATTTGCCCATAGAAAAAAGCTTCCAAATCAGTTTGACAACTGCTTCTCAATTATGAGAGCAAATCTTCCCAAATATGCAAGTATCCTAAAGAATTTAAACACAGAACCTAATGAGCACATACAATATTAGTTGTGAAAGAGGAAAGCCATCAACCTGTGTATGAAAGTCTTTGCTTCATCAAGCGACCTGATACAGGAGTACAAGTCAGCTAGAAAACACATTTTTGAACTGATTACTTACACAGCATTCCTGGAGGCTCCATGGGAAAGCAGCAACTTGACGATATCCACGTGTCCATTCTTGACAGCATCATGAAGTGGTGAGTCGTTCTGATATCCAGTGGTGTTCACCAACGCCTTATGCTGGAGCAGCAATTCCACTACTTTCAGATGCCCATGATTGCAGGCTTCATGCTAATCAAATAAAAAGAAAAAAGAGTGAGGAGAGTGATGAAGATGAGCAATGGATAATATCATAATGCCGCCGCTGGACTTTAAAAAAATAAATGTGAACCTCAGTCATTAAATCTATTCTTACCTACTTACAGACTTTTAAATTGTTGACAAAGTAAAAGCCACTATTAATAATCTTTGTGGGATGGGGCCAGCAGGTGGCATGGTGGTTAAAGGTACTGGAGTCCCATATGGCCAACCATGGTTCAAGTCCTGGCCCTGGTGGCTTGCTCCTTCTCTCTCTCTCTCTCTCTCTTTCTCTCTCTCTCTCTCTCTCTCTCTCTCTCCCTCCCTCCCTCCCTCCCTCCCTCCCTGGTCAAATTAGAAACAGATGGTAAATACATTAAATGAAATAAAATTTATGGACTAGCAGTTGGTGTAATGGCTATGTTGCTGGACTCCAATGTAGTAGATCGCGGTTTGAGTCCCGGACCCGGTGGCTTAAACTCACGCCAGGCACATGTGCCTGCGTGCCCAAGATCCCAAGAGGAGAATGGAGAAGAAGGGATTGTGGCTATACCTTCTGGGGAGTGATTTCTTGCTTTCTGTCTCTCTGTCTCTCTCTGTCTTTCTGGCGAGCGTATGCGCCCTATAGCAATAAAAAAAACACTCTCCAAAAATAGGAAAGAAAAAAAAAAAAAACAATAATCTTTCAGGGAGGGGGGAGCAGGTAGCATAGTGATTAAGGTACTGAACTCCCACATGACCAACCATGGTTTAAGTCCTGACCCTCATGGCTTGCTTTCTTACTCTTCTCTCTCTCTCTCTCTTTCTCTCTCTCTCCCTCCCTCTCTCTCTCCCTCTCCCTCTCTCTGCCTTTCCCTGGTCAAATTAGAAAAAGATGATAATACATGAAATAAAATAAAATTTAAAAAAAATAATCTTTGTGGTAGCCAGCAGGTAGCATAGTGGTTAAGGCACTGAACTCCCACATGGCTGACCATGGTTCAAGTCGTGGACTCAGAGGGCTGAAATTCATATCAGGTGGGGACCAGCATGTATTGTGGTGGTTAAGGAGGCTGGACTCCCACATGGCTGACAGTTTGAGTCCCAAACTTAGCAGCTTGTTTTCTCACTTTCCTTTTCTCTCTCTCTCTCTCTGTGGCCAATTTCAATAAAATAAAATAAATTACAATGAATAAAATTAAATAGTTATTAAAAAGGGGAGGAGAGCAGGTGGCATGGTGGTTAAGGGTACTGAACTCTCAAGTGACCGAACACAGTTCAAGTCTCAAGCCTGGAGGAGGCTTGTTTTTTTCTCTTTCTCTCTCTCATTCATTCACTTACTCTGTCCCTCTCTAGTCAAACTGAAGTGGATAAATAAATTAATAAAATAAATAAAGTTCAATGGAAAATTCTTAAAAAAAAAAAAAGAGAAAGAAAAGAAACTCATGTCAGTTGCATGTGCATGCATGCCCACTTAAAATCCCAGGAGGAGAATGGAGGAGAGGGGATTATAGAGTGGCAATCTCCCCTAAGGAGTGATTTCTCTCTCTCTTTCTCTCTCTCTCTCTCTCACTGTCTCTCCAGCAAGTGCAAGTGCCTTATAATAAAAATCTCTCTCTAAAAAAAAAAAATAGTAATAATAATAATCTTTGGGATAAATACGTGGTGATCAACCATCTGTGCAATTCATGGAAAAACAAGAAGCTATTTGAACCTTGAGTCAAGTATTCCTTTTTAGAAGAAAATATAGCTTTAAATCCACTATAGCTCCTAAATTACTCTACAATAAATTAAAAACATGAATAGAAAAGAGAAACATAAAGAAAAACAGACTCAGAAAGTATTTAACAACCAAGGCACACATAATATCTGAAATTCTCTGAGGGTGAAGAGAATTTACTAAATCAAGTGCTTAGCCATATGCTAAGTGGTACCTCGGCATATGCACATAACCAGCCAACAAAGTAAATATCAAGAAGAAATATTTACAATGTAAGCTCTCTCTGCTGAAGCTACAGATAACTGTACGGCCTGGTATCAATGATAACAGGAATAACACAAAGTAGGTATTCAAAAGCTTACCGAATAGATGACAAAACAGGTAACAATGGAAAGTTCAACGATACCTTATAAGCTTCCTTATGTATAATGAACTGCTAACAATGCTACTATGTTCTAGTCTAATAAATATCTGGCACACTATGCTTTTTAAGTATATCTATTTCAAGTTATAATAGGTGATCCTGCATTCAACCTGGAGGTCTGTTTCTAGGAGGAAGGAATCCAAATTAGACATCGGATTCTCTAAATCACTCACTAACCTATACTACAATTCACCTTAGTGACTTAAAAAAAAAAAATCATTTCTTTGAAAAGGTTAGCCAGCGTGCAGAGCTCAAACAACAAAGAGACTATGATCCAGGCAAAACTCTCTCAGCTTACGAATTTGGCAAGAAGTCATTATATATAACTTTAAACCTTTTTTTGCATCTGGCCTAATGAGACTCCTCATTTCTGTGCTGAGCTTCTAGTTTCTAGGATAAAAGCATCCACACCTTATTTGTTGACATTTCCATGGTTGCATTCAAATCTCATGCTTATTGTTCTATTGTACAAAGCCCAAATAGTCACTTTTTTCAGGTATTTGAGGCATTCTTTTCCCAGAATATTTTTCATGCCATATTTTTAACAAAGACTTTTTAAAATGTTTAATATTAGCAAGTATGTTTGTACTGCCTCTATATATTTGTAGTTGAGTAGAGTATAAATGAGACTAAGACAGACTCTGAGTGAGAATCACTCCCTTGTAATCAATTTCTATACTCAGGTTCCCCTGACTTATTTTTGCTCCAAGAAATCTGGATCCAATGATACCTAATGTTAGTCAGATGTCAGCTGTAGTAGTTACCTCTACTCATTAGCTAAATTCAACAACATAGAGTAACTGGATTCCTAAATTTAAAGGTAGTCCAAAGATAGCCAATGTTCATCCTATTCCAATGGAAAAGCTGGGTGACAAGTAATCATTTTCTCATACTTGGTGAAAATATAGTCTTCAAACCAACAACAGAGTGTGTGTGGCAGAGAATGATATATGGACAACTACATAACTGTAACTTATAAGAACTATAAAACAGAAGGAGAATAAAAAACAAACAAATAGAAAACTACCAATGGGGTCCATCCAGCATGGTCTTTAACATTTGGGTCACTTCCGTTTTGTAAGAGGTATTCAACAGCAGGTACATCACCCTAGTAAAACAACGAGAACATAAATTAAAAAGTATCAAGAGAAGAAAGGAAAGTACCGGGTTATTTTTCTTTTCCTTTTATTTTTTTTTAAATGAACAATCTGTCTTCTTAAAGATAAAGTTAAATCCAATTCTTTTCTCTTACAGACTGTTGCCAACAAACAAAAATTTATATATGTCTGAATTTTTCTTTGGTACCGAGTAACATGGTCTACCCTTAAATGAGAACAAAATATGTATTAGTAACTCATATTCAAAATAATTTCAAGATACCAAATAAAGGACACTGGCCAAAAACCGTATGCTCATAATGAATTTTTTAAAGTCATCATGTCATTTATGGAAAAAAAAAATCCTTTTAGAGCATACATGATTTGAGTACTATTTTAAACAAACACAAATATATCTAAGAAGGCTACTCAGTGAAACCAATGGTAAAGCTGTCAAAAACTGTTATCTTATTGGTATGTAACTGTTTATCCTGATACATTAATTCAGTTTATATTAACCTATTTGCTCGAAGCTATTTCCTAGGCAGAAGCAGTTGCAGTGTTTAAAATGTCAGGAAATGGTTCAGTAGAAACCTATCTGTAATGGCCCAAGGAGTCAGCATTTAATTTTTATCCCCTGGTTCAAGACTAAAATCACCATCCATTATCAACTAACTGAACTACATGAAATGAACCTTCCACGACATCCGTACCAGTATTACTCTTTTCTACTAAACATACCGTTTCCAATTTTTCTCTGGTTTCTATTCCAACATTTGGGGATAGATGCAATAATTTTAAAACAGTGGCTTGTGATGAAATGAAGGGAGGAAGTGAAAAAGATAACAGATATTATAACTTAATGTTAGAAGAGCTGAACAAGATGCGAGGAGTAAGTATAAATGGAAGTGAGGCACTAAACAAAGGAAACAAACAAAAGGCAGACAATAGCATTGGCATTTTGAATTTTCTGTGTCATGATCTAACCAAATCCTAATAAAGGTGATTGAATCCTAAAAGCTGTCTTTAGAAGGAAGAATGAAATACTACAGCTTTGGAAATGTGCTTCTCTTTGTCACCAGCCTCCCAGGAAAGTGAAGCCTGGCAAAGGAGTTAAGTCGGGGAAATGGTCAGGTAGTCTCTCCTCTCACTCAGCTTTCTGTTCCTTTTCCCAGAGGTGAGAAATAAAAGCCTTAAACTCTCTATTAGCAAAATCTCTATCTTGTCCCTTAATCTAACATGAAAAGATCTGACATCTACCTTTAATATTTGATTATATGTTTAGGTATCAGTCCATTCTTAAAGACTTTTTAATAATCTCTAGCTATAAGATAAAGGATACTGCCTGTTTTTAAAACAGGTGAGGCTTTAGGAAGAAGGATGACATTTATGCAGTATGAGGAAGGTAAAATCCTCTTAAAATGACTATAACCAGTCACTGCAACTATAACTGGATCGGCTCCTCTAAGATAACAGGGGAGGGATACTTGACCTAAGTCCATGGAGATAAAGCAAAACAAAAATATCTGAGAATTTACTCTAAAAAAGGATGAATAAATAAAAGTCACACATGACAAAAGCTGCATTTACACTGTTGTGTTCAGGGCCAGCCCACAGTCTAGTGGTTAAGAGAGCCAGATCTCAAATGGCTGACTGTAGTTCAAATCCTGGTCCCAGGGCTTGAAAGACATGCTGGGCACATGTGTGTGGCCAAAATCCTGACAGGATGGAGAAATGGAGAAGAGACTGTGGCGTGACCACACCTCATCCAGGGGTGTTTTCTTTCTCTCTGTAGAGTGTACATTCCCCCTGGTGGTTTAAAAAAAGGGAAAAAAAGACAAATACAATGCTATGTTCAATTAGTTTTATGAAGTGCTTCTTAGGGAAAAAAGAACTCTGTCCCCCTTCCCATCCCCAGGCTCAATTTTTTTCCTGAAATGAATTCCTTCTTCTGTTGTTTCGATAGTGTAGGTATCACTAAGTGCCCTACATACAGTAACACTGGGTTTAATTTTTTTCTTTTTTCTTTTCTTAATAAAAAAGACAACTACCTATTTCTTCCACAAGAGAGATGAAAGGAGGGGGACTTGGGGAACAACCCAAATGATGTCTTGAAGCCATGATCCACCCTAGTCTCTACCAGCCCAGATCATGGGCACAAACATGCAAATGCACGTGCCAGTCTGAAACAGGAAGTCTCGTTTCTTTTCCATGCGGTACAGCATCAAAACATGTTAACTCTGTGCCACCAGCCAGCCCCATGCTTTGGGTTTTCATTTCTATTTCCATATTTTCAGATACATATCAAATACATATCATAAAGCATACTTAAAAGTTTTCTGAAGGAATAAATCCACATGCAAGATACATTCTTACTTTCCCAAATGAAATTTTTGTTTAATGGGCCTAAAAGTAAGAAAACATAGGTTTCAAATCAACTGCCCTAGTTCCAATCTAATACATTTTCCCTGAATTTGTAGGAGTACAAATGCTAAACCTGTAGTGCATGTGTTTTTGTTCTATATTCAAGTCAGTTCCAAATGAACTTAGGAACATCTGACAAGGTATAAATGTAAGTTTTTTTAGACAATCTCATGCATATTGGGCAGATGAACTGCCAGAGCCACACTTATCTCCATCTTCAACATGAAAGTATCCACCAAAAATACACAAAAATTCTTCTCAAAAATTGTCCCATTCTAGGACCAGTAGATGGCATAATGGCCATGTCCCTGGACTTCCATGTAGTCGACCTAGGTTCAAGTCTCAGTGGCTTAAACTCATGCTGGGCGTGCATGCCCAAGATCCTGAGAGGAGATGGAGAAGGGATTGTGGCGTTGCCACCCCCCATGGAGGGTTATTTCTCGCTTTCTGTCTGTCTTTCTGGCGAGCGCACGTACTCTAGAGCAAAACATCTCCTTCCCCCCCCAAAAAAATTGTCCCATTCTAATTCTACATGGTAATGACAAAGAGCTTGCTCACCTAGAGAAGCTCATAAAATGATAAGGAGCTTAATAACGAGCTATGCTTAATAATATAATAAACTAAACATAACTGTGTAATGAAGAGTCACACGGGAATAGTCAGAGAGAAATAGTGACAATGTGGAGATTAAAAGCAGAAGCTCTTTTAAGGCTGCTAGACAGTTGCTATTTTTCTTTCATGTTACCTCTTCATATTATCAAAGGTGTCTTCTGTTAACATTCCACACCTGAAATGTATAGCTGATCAGCAAACTTCTTGCTTTTTATACCCAATCTGCTTTCTCCTCCCTAACACTTAAAAGACTGTCATATTATCATCTTTCTGCTTCATGTAAAGTTAATGTCATGCACATAAATAAAATTATGATAATTAGGAAGGGTCCACAGTAACTGCATAACCTCAAATGGATATGAAGTTTCCAGGAAATAAATTAACTTCTGCCTCTGATTTCTTTAAATTACTTTCTTTTCTAACAGAATGTTTTCTGAGTAATAAACACTCACTTTTAGGCTTCTCATAACTTAAAAGAATAATTGAGGTTTTTCTTAAACCATGGGGAAAAAAACCCCACACATCTAAGACAAGTAACTTACCAAGCCTTATAAGAAATTTTAAATACATCTGGTATTTTCAGGTTATATCTAAAAGGCTGGAATTAAGGCTGTGTGTGTTTGTCTGCGTGTGTGCATACACACAAGTCCTAATGAATTCTTTTATTGCTAAGTTTTCAAAGGAAAGATTCTTCACACGTCTTGAGTATATTGTAAAAACAAGCATATTCCAGCAATATAAATTAACTTTCCAAAGACACACACACCAATGGAATTCTTTTTCCCTATATTTTAAACATGAGCTCTGGGGGTCAGCAGGTGGTATGGTGGTCAAGGTGCTGGACTCCCACATGACTGACCATGTTTCGAACTTGGCAGCTTGCTTTCTCATTCTCCCTTTTTCTCTCTCTCTGGTTAAACTGAAGGATAACAATAAAGTTAAATATATCATTCTTATTTGAAAAAAAAGGTTAGCTCTTATAAAATACCACTAGTAATAACCATCTTTATAAAAACAGTACTGGACAGGGGCCGGCAGGTGGCATGTAACAGAGGTGCTGGACTCCTACAGGGCCAATTGTGTTTGTTTGAGTCCTAGACCTGGTGGCTTGCTTTCTTACTTTCACTTTTCTCTATCTCTCTGTGGTCAAACTAAAAAATAATAACAAGTAAAAGAAATAATTCTTATATAAAAAAAGAAAAACAGTACAGGACATTACAATTAAATAAAATAAAAAATTACTTGTCTGGTAAGGTTAAGCTTTTCCCCTTAAACAAACTGATCAGGTACCTAATACTTCCCTTTTAGACAACTAATGTTCAAACAAAAAAACAAAAAGCCATCTGGAATGAAACTCTAAAATGTTAAATATATCTCTGGTTTCCTATTCAGAATTTACTAAATAAAATAATTTAATGATTCTGACAACCTCGTTTAATTAACATCACATTAAGTTACTACTAATACAAAGGCAGATTTAAACATAGGTTGTGGGTGACAGGGAGAAAACAGCTACAGATTCCAAGAGGTGTCCTAGAAATTAAGATCTTGAAAATATCATAGATGCCACTTGGCTATTGTGTCTTTTGCTACTTTCTCATGCAGCTAGTATGAGGGATACAAAACAGTGTGACTTCACACACAATAAAACGTGACTGCCTTAAAACAGAATGAACTACAAAGTCAAACCCTGAAGGAAACTCGTCACAAAGGATTTTCCCTCAATCCAGCAGCTCTTCGCCAACTTCACTACATTCTAAGCATATCATGTCTTATAAGTTGCCCTCAAAATACAAGTTGCACATCCCTAACCTAAGAATCTAAAATTCAAAAATGCTCCAAAATCTGAAACTTTTTTTTTTTTTGGAGAGATTTTCACTGTAGGGCGCGTGCGCTCGCCAGACAGACAGAGAGAGACATAGAGACAGAAAGCGAGAAAGCACCCCCCAGGGGGGATGGTCACGCCGCTATCCCT